CTTGACCGGAATTGAACCTGGGACCCTTCAGTCCACAGGCTGACACTCTATCCACTGAGCCAAACCAGCTAGGGTGGGAGGTCACAGTTTGATTCCTGGTCAGGGCACATGCCCTAGTTGAGGGCTGGATCCCCATTGTGAGGCATGCAGGAGGCAGCCAATCAATGAATCTCTCTCATCATAGATGTTTCCATCTCTTTCTCCCTCTCCCTTCCTCTCTGAAATCAATAAAAATATTTTAAAAATAAAAAAAAACAAAATGAAGAGGTTTTGCCCTTTCTATCTCTTCTGCTTTGGCCAAGGCTAGAAACAGACTGAGACATTTAAGGAACAGTCAGAGCAGTAATGGTGTGGGCTCAGGTTTGTCACAGCCAATGACATTTGTCTTCCTGCATATATCTCTGCTAATCTCTTCCTTCTCTTCATGCCACTATGAATTGAGCTAAGGGGATTATAACGAGAGGGTTCAGTTGAGGACATTCTGCCTGCTTGTGCTGTTAAAACAATACGTGAAAATAGAAGAACCCCTAAAAGATAACTTGAGGTGTGTGGGCTGAAGCTCTATAACAACTTGACCCATTAATCAGAGACAAAGAGGTGCCTGTGATGCCCGGAGGAGACATAACACCCTTAGCTTTCCCTCAAATTCACTCTCCACTTGGCTGATTTCAAACAAGCAAATAAAAGTCTTCAATCTAAACAATAAAGTTGCTTGCATTTGCATATTACTTTTGTATATCTTATCCTTGAAACCTCACAATAATCCTATGAGATAAGTGGTATTTTCCCCAATTTAGAGATGAGGAAACTAAAACAGAAAAAGTGAGTGACTCTTCCTAGGGCACAGAGCCATTAAGTAGCAGAACCAATGCTAGCTAGAACAAAGGTCTCCTGAGTCAGTTCAATCCTCCTGTGATTCTTGATCTTTTTATTTCCTCCATTCATTCATTTAGCAAATATTTAATGAGTATCTTCTATATCCGAGGCACTGATAATACAATAGAGAGAAAAACAGACCTGGTACCAGCCCTCACTGAGCATAGTGGGAAGACAATAAGCAATAAAAAAAAAAAAATCCACACCCTCGGTCTTTAATCACAGACAGAATCACATGTATACTTCCCCTTGGTAGTCACATGTACTAAAGACCTACATTGACAAAACATGCCCCCGATTCCAGACACTCCAACACACACAGTCTTTCTCCCCTCCCCTTAGCCTACTAGACAACCCAACCCCTTGTGTGCAATACAAGGGACCCCTCACCTGATGTCCAAATTGATTGCAAGGGAAGCCAAGAACCACCAGGCGCCGGGGAAAGCGGCATTGCAGCTCGTTGAGCTGGGTGTAGTCCCGAGTGGTTGTGCCTCAGAGCGATGCTACGTTCTCAATCAGCACTGCCCTGCCTCGGAATGTATTGAAATCTATCTTCTCCCCATCCAGGCTGATAGCACTGAGGTCGTAGAACGACTTGGCAATGAAAGCCATGGTGAAGGTGCAGGGTGAGCCTGGCAGGTGGCGGGAGCCCACTTAAGGATCTATTAAAGGGGTGGGGAGGAGGAGGAGCCTGGAAGGGCAGGAAGGCTCTCACAATGGGGCTTTGAGCATCCTCAGGATGACTTAGCAAAAACCGTCACCCACCTGCAAGGGCTGTTTGAACAAGGAGGTTGCTCCTCCTATTTACAGACTAAACAAAGCCACCTCCCTGCCCTACCCTGCTGGCAACCTGGGAGGGCCAACTTGATATCTATGAACAGACATGAATAATTCACTACTTGCCAGGAAACCAGAGCCCCAAAGGTCGCCCTGGAGGAAAAAAGGGAGGGAGGGACCCAGGATTGACTCCTACTTGCCCCAGCAAGTTGTTTCACATGGCGCATACATTTATTGAGGGCCTGCTGAGTGCCAAGTTCTGAACCCTGCAATGGAGAAGTCAGGGTCTGCTGAGATCTGAAATGGGAGGAAGAGAATTGGAGTGCATGTCCCCTTGACTCAGACTAAAACTGAAATATACATATTACTGTTCACAGTTTTCTCGTTGGCTGTTGGTTTCCACTAAATCAAAGGAGACCTTGGGACACAGTGTATGATTTTTATAAAATAACTAGAGACCCTGTGCACTGGTGGGGGGTCCTCTCAGCCCCGCCTGTGCTCCCACCACCACTGCTGCACTCGCCAGCCGTCAGCTGGCTTGTGGCTGAGCAGCGCTCCCCCTGTGGGAGCGTCTGCCCCCTGGTGGTGAGTGTCATAGCGACTGGTCATCGGCCATTTGGTTGATTTGCATATTACGCTTTTATTATATAGGATGGCTTTCAGTGCCTCGGCTTGTACCAGGCTGAAGAGATGAAGTTGTGTTGGTCTTGTACAGTCTTCCCGTGAGTGAGGTCACCTGCTCTCAAGAACATCTGCCCCTGCACCGTGCCATCTCCTACCCTGACTCAGAAAGTCTGGAGGCCTTGCTAGAAATAATTCAGAGATTTATTCCAGGATCTTGGAGTTTGCAAACTGGGAACATAGCTGGACAAAACCCCAGAAGTGTTCCGAAGAAGAAAGAAAACTTAAACATTCTTATAGTAAAAAGTACATTCTTGAGAAGTATCAGTCCTGCTTGCTTAGCCCTAGGATTGGTCCAGAATGTTGCCAGTCAGATGCCAGGCAGTCAGGATGAAGGCTGCCAGGTGGTCAGAAAGATGGGACCAGGAGGTCAGGTCAAGTCCTGGTGGTCTGGTTAATGAATGTCAGGTGGATGTATAGGTGGGTCTTTCAGGGGATAATTAGAGGGTCACCTGGAGGCCCAGATGTATATCCGGGCATTGATGCAGGACTAAATAGTTCAAAAAAGTGTAAGTTTTAAGTTAATGATGCAAGGCTCATTAGAATAAGAATGGAGTATTTCCTCATGCCTCAATTTCCTTAACTTAATAATTTTAGCAGCTTGGTTAAAATGACTTCATTTTATACATTCCCTATCTTTTCTCTTTCTTCACTCCACATCCTGCCCCCATGGGGTTGTGAGGATGCAATCAGCTGTGGCCAGGTAGGGGTGACAGGAGTTGCACAGCAGGTGGGGAAACTACACTTATCTCTTCTCAGACCAAGGCTCCGTCCCAAAGACTTTCCAGAGGGCTGTGCTGGTCCCACCCCACCAGAAGGGAAGTCTGCAGGGAGTCAAGCTGCTGCAGTTCTAGACCCAGCGAGGCCTCCCATGACATTTGCAGCACCAGCCATGTAGGCCCTACATTGTAGGGTATTGCAGGCCACCTGGGGACCTGCTAAAGCTTGTCATGGTGTGAGCACACCCCTGGGAGCCCACAGGAATTAGAAACACCTAACGCTCCACTTCATTCCCCCAAGCACCCACCAACTCAACAAGTCACCTCCTTTTTTGATGCCTGGATTTCTCCAGCGGTAAAACTGGCAATTAGGCTTTACCAGGCTTGGGGAGTTTAGAGAGAGATTTCAATAACAATGCAAATGTTTACTAGAGACAGTTTTTACAGGGACAGGTCCACTGGGAACTATCTCCTAAGACAAATAAGCGAGGCTAGCAGCAGCCAGGCTTGAGAATCTGATCTGTGAAGATGGAGAATTACTCCGCAGAGGGTGCCCGACTGGTCTGTCTTCTGTAGCCTGTCCCATGGCTGCTGATAGCACGTGGGAACCCACCCGTCTCAACGGGCTGCTCCCTAGGAACAAGCCTCCATTACCTAAGTGGGCATGGAATCTGGCCAGCAGAAGAGGTAGCAGGAAAGGCTGGGTGGAGTTCCCAGAAGCAGCCCATAAATGTCTCTAGCAAGCCACCGCGTCAGAAGGAGTTGGCCTTGACAGTGGGCTAAACTTTAACATGAACTTGGCAGATTGACGTGCATGCCGAGAGTTCTCCAGTACTCAGGGCTTCCCGGCACCTCCTGTGGGCTGCCCTCCTGTGACCTCTCCAGGAAGGCCCCGGAAGTTCCTGAGCTAAGGAGTGGGGGCTCCCTCTCCCTCGGGTACAAGCCATTTTTCTCTCTAGGTACAGCGTTGAGTCACCCAGGTTCTTACCGTTGACAACTGAATTGTATTGATAAGGCTCTCCTAAAACTCCTCTTTGTCCAACTTTACCTCAAACCAGCCTGCTTTCCAGAAGCCGGTATCTTTGTGACATGCACTGAGTGTGCGATTCCCACAGCTTTCCACAGGGACAGTAGTGGTTCTGGTAACTGTACTGGCTTAGCAGGCAGAAAGCTTAGGCCAGTGGTTCTCAACTCTGGCTGCAAATGAGAATTGCTTATGAAGATTTTCCTAAATAGAGAGGACAAAGCTTTCCCCTCCCGAGATTTCAATTCCGTTGTCTCTAGCCACGACTCTGCCACTGTTCCTTGGGGCCCCTAGACACCTGTTTCCTTATCTGTTGAACCAGGAAAATCACCCAACTTATCTCACCAGATACGATCAAGTATTACAAGCGCTCTCTCAACTGGAAAGTGCAGGGTAAGATCTTAGACTCTTGCCCTGCCTTGTTTTACTCCTTCCTTCTTCAATTGATCCTCACCCCCATTCTCTGCTTCTTCCATCAACTCTGTACCCCAAAGTAGAGGATTCAACAGCCGCCACCACCCCGGCCTCCAGGATTCCAGTCTGCCTTGCTCCCCGGGAGTACTCAGTCACAGGGCTAGGATGAACATCTGAAAGATGACTTCGCCCCTCCTCATGCCTTCAGGAAAGCCTGTTCTCATCTGACAGCTGAGGACCTTCTTGGCTTTAAAGACTCCCTCAATGATTCTGCGCAGTCTTACTTCTGCAGTAGAAGCCCATCGCCTTGCAATGGGGACTTTGCTCAGGGCTCCCCTGCAGGTGGCATCAGGAAAGGGGGAGCATGGAAGATTCTGGCCACTCCCATGGTCCTTCTACTGCCATTGCTCTAGGGTTCTGGAGCCTCTCCCACCAGCCCTGCCTCTCCCCTTCACTGCCGGGGGGCTGAGCGAGACCTATTCCCAGGAACGCATACAGGCATCCACACCTGTGGTTTGAAATAGTCTTTATTTTGTAAACATCTGTGTTTAAAATAGATGAACCCTGCTCACAATTCATTTACTGGACCCAAGACACAGCACGCAGAGTTCACCCGTCACAGGGAGATGGGGGGTCAGGAGCAGGTGGAGGGCCAGGGCCGGGGCTGGGTTGAGCCTCAGGACAGCAGGTGCAGAGGTGGGAGGTGTAAGCAGGCAGGAGTGCCTGCCTGTTCAACAGTCTGGGCCTAATGCCAGACCCAGGCCACCTCCTGGGTTGGAGAAGTGTAGGGGTGGGAGGCCACCTCTGGAACCTGATGAATGTAATGCACCCTAACATCCCAACCGTCCTCGGCTCCCACCCCTCCCCCAACTGCGGCCCTAGAATGGGGCTAATCAGCCCTAGAATCTTGCCTCTTGCTTTCCCTCCCAGAACCCCTGGGGCACAGTTAAAACAGTTCCTGTGTCCTGAGGGGTAGGGGAAAGGCTGAGGTGCTCAGCCTGTCCCCAGGGAGAGCTGCAATACTGGCCCCGGGTGGGAGCCAAGGCGAGTATGACCTCCCCTCTCTGAAGTCTGGGCTGAGGGCACTCTGAGAGCTGACTCTGAGGGCTGAAGTGACCGCCCTCCCACCCCCAGGCGATGCTGCTGGTGTCCTGACACCCGAGGAGCCAGTCTCAGGAAGCATCCCCAGCCAGCTCTCCATTCTTCACCTGCCAACCACTGACTGCTGCCCTCCTTTCCTTCCACTCTGCTAACCCGCCCCCCTCCCTGCGTCCTGAGTCACCCTGGCCTGATACGCCTGGAAGAAAGGGTTAGTGATTTCATGCCCACACCCCATTTTTGGAGTAAGGAAGTGGGGCTCTTAATCCTTCCCGTGGGTGTGCCCTGGATTTTGGACTTAGTTGGTGAATGCTCAATGCCCAGTTGTTCCTTTTAGCTCCAGGCCCAGCCATGCCATGCAGCTAATATGTAGCTTAAGGATGATCCTCCGACTGTGGAAGGGGCGCAGGAGCCCTGCTGGGGCTGGTCACTGACTTGTCCCTTCCTCAAAGGGCCTTCTTCGGGATACTCTTGGGCCATATGGGATTAAACACCTTCTTCCTGAACAGAGAGCCCTGCAGGAGTCCTGTTCCCGCCACCCGCAGCCACAGTGAGGCTGGCAAACCCGCAAGCCTTGCCCTCGGGAGCCAGAGGGGCAAGATGAGCACTTTGTCTGGAAGAAGGAAGAGAACAGCACCGAGCACTTCCTCAGGGCCTGCCTCCCTTCTTCCCATGAAGTCCCCGCTCCTCTCCCACAAACTCTGGGTCTCGTGAAAACCTTGAGCTGAAGGCTGGGGTCAGTGAAGGCCCACCTCTCACCTGCCAGGGGGTTGTGGGAAATGCTCTTCTCACACAAGAACTGAAGGGCCCAGGGAGTCCATATTCCCCCCTGGCCTGCTCTCCCTTGCTCGTAATCTGATATAGAGGAACTAGTCCTTCAGTTCCCAACGCTCCTCTTTCTGGAGCCCTCGGCTGGCTTGTCAATCACTGCCCTGGCTCTCCTCGCCCCTGCAGTGCCCTCAGGCTTTGGTTCAGGTCTTTAATCCAGGAGCCCAGGTGGGAGGAATTGTGTACGTGCGGCTCGGGAGGTAGAGAATGGAGGTGACTTTTTCTCCCTGCCACTCCTCGTCATTTATTTTCTCCTCTGAAGCACCTGCCTCTGAGCCCAGTTCCCCAAGAGGCAGACGGGCAGGCAGCCAAGCAAGGCCCGAGCTGGGAGAGGTAGGGCAGCCCCAGGCTGAGGACCAGGTTCCTCCCCACCAGATGTTTCACGTTCCCAGGTCAGTGGTGAGGAGGACCCGTGGCCCAAGGAGGACGTGGGAAGGGGAGGTGGGAAGAAGCTCCCCACCTCTGGCCCACCCACAGAGCAGGGTGGGGTTTCTCCCAGGAGCTGGAGTCCATCCCCCTGGACAGGGTTAGGAAGAAAGGAAAGAAAGGAGCTGCACCAGCAGCCACAAAGCAGGACGCACAGGGCTCAGGGCGTGGGGGGACAGAGAGAAGTGGGAAGAAGAGAGAAAAGCGGTCAGGAGACAAGACCCACTGAGAAGGAGCCTCAAAGTGGCCTCAGCCCCGGACGCCGCTGTCTGGGGAGCTCATCGGGGCTCATAGCAGGCTGCGGCGGGAGGGAATCGGGGGAGAGGCTGGGGGCCGCTCAGAGGTGACAGCGGAGCCACCCTCAAGGCCAGGCTGGGGGAGTAGCAGCTACTGATGTTCCACGGGGTCACCCAGATGAGAGGAGAAGCAGGGCAAAGCCCAGACTCCCTGTCTGCCGCAGGCCTCCTGAGGGGAGGGGGGGCTTGTGGGTGCTCCACGCAGGGCCCTCAGCACCAGCAGGTTTTTGAAGAGTTCACTGGGCCCTCGGGTTTGCTCTCATCCTCCTCGAGCTCTGCCAACGCCAGCTCTTTGCTGGCACGCGCCCGGACACCGTCCAGCTCCTTCCTGTGGGCCTGCAGCACCAGCTCCGTCAGACGCGTGAAAGACTGGGAAAACCAAGGGGCGCGGGTTAGTCCAATGTTCCCTCCTCTTCCTCCTGCAGCCCTGTAACTGCCCAAGGGGTGAGGCCTCATCTCGTGGCTTCTGTCTGCCACCTTCTCCTCTGGCTTCCCCACTGCAGACTCAGCCAGGGACAGACAGCTGGGCCTGGGAGTCCTCACCTCTTTAATGTTGAGGTTGGTGCAGGCACTTGTTTCGTAGAAGTCCATGCCGTACTCCTTGGCCAGCTGCAAGAGAGGACATTCCTGAGAGGGAGTCAGGGAGGGAAGGGAGGCGCCCACAGCACCTGCAGGTACTTCTGCCGTTGCCCTCACAACCCATCCTGAGTTGTGACAATTTCTCAGAGGAGGTGACTTCTCAGATGAGGCTAAGAGCTCCTTCTAAGACCCAGGCTAGCACAGACACAGATGCACCCAACAGATGCCAAAATGTTGCGGCAGGACAGCACACTAATGAACAACATGGGCTTTGGAGGCAAAGAGACCTCGACTTGAATATCAGTGCTGCCACTTAACAGCTGCACGACCTTATTCAGCTGTATGACAAGATACTTATTCTCTCTCAGCCCCAGCTCTGCCATCTGTTAAAGGGCGATGGATGACAGCGTCTGTTAACCAAGGTTGTGGAATGATTAAATGAGGTCATGCATCTCCAAGCACTTGCTTAGCACATGCAGGGCTCAATAAATACTATTATTCCAGCAGGGTCTGCTTCTACTTTCAGATTCTTCAATAACTAGGCATTATTATTATTTTGTTAATATATTTTTATCAATTTTAGAGAGGAGGGAGAGAGAGAAACATCAGTGATGAGAGAATCGTTGATCGACTGCTTCCTGCACGCCCCACACTGGGGATTGAGCCCGAAACCCAGGCATGTGTCCTTGACCCGAATCAAACCTGGGACCCTTCAGTCCACAGACTGACGCTCAGTGGATGGGTGACTTGTCTCAGTGGCATCTGTCTGTCTTTCTGTCCTCTGTGTGCTTGGGCATCCCCTCAGCACCATCCTCCTACCCTCCTTGCCCCCAGGGCCTCTCTGACTATGGGCCCTTCATTCCACATGTACCTTCCTACCTCCTTCCAGTGTAAGGATAGGGAGGGGGTGAGGAGGGAGTGGAGGACTGTAAGATGGCAGCTATGCCTGGGTGCTGTTAGAGAACAAGCCAACACCTTGAAGTCCTTCCTCATCACTAGCACTGGAATGAGCTCTTAAGCAGAGGTAATCTTACTCTGGGGGACTTGGAGTTGGGAGAGTTGCTTCCCAATAGGTCTTTGCATCAGGGTGGACCCCAAATCACTGTCCCGAAGGGCAGAAAGCCAACTCAAGGATGGCAGCTCACCCAGCGCCTTGGCCTATCATGGGAGGTATGAGGTGCCTGATGGGGGTGATAGAATCCTGGGTCACAACTCTCAGGACTGGCCTGGAAGGTAGCAGAGAACCCCAGGGATGGATGCGGCCAGCTCACTGCCACGTACCTGCTGCCCTTGCTCTCTTCCCACCTGCCGCTTCTGCTCTTCATCGGCCTTATTCCCTATAAGGATCTTCTGGACACCTTCGGGCGCGTACTAGGGACAGAGGACAGGCAGAGCCGCCAGTGAGTGCTGCCTCCCTCCACCTCCCCACACACGTCTACACCGGCCTCCACAGCAGCACCAAACTTCAGAGCCCTGGGACAGAGTGGCCGACTGGTGCAGCTGCCGGGCTCCCCCAAGAACCATGGGTGACCACAGTGTCCTGGGGACAGTCTGAATAGGAAACACTGGCTGATTCTGAGGGGCTCTCACCCCCGCCCCAGCCTAAATGAGGGAGTGCTTCCTTAGACTGCACAACTGGTACCTAAGTTGGAAAGGACATTCGACTTAAGCCCAACCCCTCATTCTACAGATAAGGAACCGTGGACGCAAGAGAGTTCAAATGGCTTGCCCAAGACCCCACAGCTACCATGGCAGAGCCAGGACTAGAATCCCCCCTGGCCCTAAGATTCCGGGGAAGAAGATGTTCACAGGGTAACTCACTTCTGGGCAGCCTGGCAGGGTACAGAGCACGGAGGGCATGGCAGCTTGGGCTTCTCCCTATAGAGGACTTACCCAGAGGTCTTCATCCCGGGCTGTGGAGGGCAAGCTTTCCTGGCAGCGTTTGCTCGCCAACCCTGAGGGCTTCGGCCTTTCCCATCTGGCCCTCCCTTCGCCTTCCCCTCTGCGGTGCCCTCCCCCACTCCACTGGTGAGGTGGCATCTCCTACCTCATCCACATCACTGACCCACTTCATGATGTGCTGGTAAGAGCGCTCGCTGCTAATGTCGTAGACTAAAAATATTCCCTGGGGGAGAGAGCAAGAGAGAGGGGGGGAGGGGGATGCGCACAGGCATGGGGCCAGAAGCCGTGTGGTGCCTTAAATGCTGGGTCCCACTCTCCCTGCTCTCTGCTTAGCATAATAAGGACCCCTCAGCACCCAGATATATCTTCTTCCGTCTCAGACCCCAAAGCTATTGCTTCCTAGGCCTACCACAAAACTCTCTGAGGTAGAAAGCCACCAAACACTTGGACCTGGGTCTTTAGCCCAGGGTGGATGGAGGGTGAGGGTGGGGGACCTGCCTATAGTGAGTGCTCAGAGAATCACTGATGAATGAACGGTCCACGAACAACTCAAAGACCACCTAGGGGCTCCCCTCCCTAGCAGGCAATCCAAGGGCCCTATTTTGGGGGTGAGTGGCACAGATATCTCAAGTACCCAGAGCCGGGAGTGTGGGTGGCAGCATCCCACCTCTGAACCCTAAAAATGGTGGCTCACCTGGGCCCGTCGATAGTACTGCTTTGTGATGGTCTGATATCTCTCCTGCCCCGCTGTGTCCCTGCAGTAGAAAGCCAGTCCCTCAGAAGAGCGGGGATCGTAGAAGCAAGAGAGAAGGGAGGAGCAGGAGCTGAGAGACCCTGTGCCTATGAAGGAAAGACTGGGGAGCTGTAGGGTGAAAATTAACGGGGCTTTGGTCTCTCAGGGGATCTGAGCATACCTGAGTCTGCAGGAGAGGTGCCTGGCCATCTGGTGCTGACAGGGGTAGTGGGCCTTGTTCACTACATCTGCACCAGAAGCCACAACCATAACTGGGCCTTGACAACTCTCTCTAGAATTTGGTCACTGTGGCCAGACTGGATGGATTGCTCCACCTCCAGATCCTCTGAAGGCAATGCCCAAACCACTCTGGAGTTGGGAGGCAGCTGGCAAAGGCAGTTGAGTGTGGCCAGGAGTGGAGGCCAGAGCCACAGCGGCCCCCTGTGGCTACTTGTGGGAACTGCACCACGCTGCACTGAGGCCCTCTCACCAGCATCCCACCCTAATAGGCGGGGTATAGCCCTTCCTCCTGCCAATCCTACCATGAGGTGGCACAGCCCTTGGACAAAGCCTTATCCTCAGGCAAACCCACAGTGGTTAACTTGTCAATTCCTCTAATTTCTGCCTTTTGGTGACTTGTGGTCAACCCCATAGTTTCTTCAGGATGAGATCAAAGATTAAGGCTCCTGGGAGCAGGAGATGGGCTTTGAGGCTTCCATTTCTCTCCAGGGAACAGTGGCCAGTTGCCCCAGATGAAGCCTCAGGATTTTACGCGTGGCAGTGGCAGCTTGGGAGCAGCCTGAGGTCCTCTCCTCCCACCCAACTCACCAAATCTGTATGCGCACTTTGATGCCATCCACCTCTATGGTCTTCATCTTGAAGTCGACACCTGGGGAGAGGAAGAGAGTGAGAGGTAGGAACTGAGAGCCCACCTCAACCTCAACGGGAAGGCCGGGTGCTTGCACTTGAAGGGAGCTCCTTTGGTTTAACTTGGCAGAAAGATGGCATGATGTGAGGGCCTTCTATATATATAACTGATTTCAGAGACAGAATCATTGATAGGCTGCCTCCTGCACACCCCCTACTAGGGACTGAGCCCACAACCTAGACGTGTGCCCTGACTGGGAATCAAACCGTAACTTCCTGGTTCATAGGTCGATGCTCAACCACTGAGCCACACCGGCCCAGGTGGTAAGGGCCTTCTTGAACCAAAAACTGACCCCAAGGAAGTTTCCTGTGCTCTGAATGGGGCTCTCCTTCCTCCTTGAGCTGAAAGTTGTCAGCAGTAAAGAGCCTGAGGTACAGGAAGTGAATGAAGGATCAGAGGGGGATCCACTCCATCGCTGCCTTGGCCCCAAACATGTCTCACTCACTCATGTGTGACGTCTGGGAAGGCTAATTCCTACAAACAGCGATCCACCTCATGGGCCAGGGTTTTTCTCTCTCTGCCTTATTAACAATCGGGAGGGGCTATGGTGCTGTCCTGAACGTGGGGAAGGTGCATGGAGCCTGGAGAGAGGACTGCTTCCCACCACGGTGTGTATGAAGCCCTTGGCACCCAGCAAAGGGCCACCAAGGAGAAGGCCTGGGGAACCTGCTGTTGACTAACTGGCTTACTGTGGGAGGTGCTGTGGTTTGCTGGGAGCCTGGGCTTTGACGTCTGGCCTGAGCTTGAATTCTGACTCTGGCCACTAAATTCATAGCTATGACTCTGGGCACCTTGCTTCTCCGAGCCTCCATTTCCTCATCTGTAAAATGGGGCTATTACCAGTCATTTCAGTGGGTCCCTGAAAAGAACAAGTGGCACCGAGTGCCAGGCACCCGGTGGCTCGTCAGCCGCCTGCAGTGATCACCATGCCCTAGTACGGTCCCGGTCACAGTGGGGGCCCGGGAGTGACTGCCAAGGACCGGATGAAGAGGCAGTGGCACAGCCTGTCGTGGGGGAGGGAGAGGAAGACAAACGGGTCTCGGGCCGGAGGGGCTAAGCTGCCACAGGACACGGGACACGCCGTGATCTGGCAAACCAGCCCAGGGCAGACACATATTTCGGGGAATTTGCGGCAAGAGAAGTCAGCACCACCAGCAGCACACGGGCTTGAATCTGAGTGATGACAGGGAGATGAGCCGATAGGTTTTTATCCCGGCGCCTCTCCCAGCTCTGACTGTGCCCAGTGAGTCAAAACTGTGTCTAATAGGTTAATTAAGCTTAAGTCTCCGTGTACTCCCTGGAGACAAGTCAGGAATGGGCATCGTTAACGAGTTTGCAGGTGGAGAGCATGGGAAAGGCAGAGTTCTGGACCGTAGTCCCCAAGCTGCACAGCACAGCACAGCCCCGAGCTAGAACTCCCCACGTGGCTGCCAACCCACCTGGGCATCAGTTCTTTGCCAACCGGAATACTTCTGCCCTTAGCCATCCTGTCCCCAGCTTTCCACAAATTCAGACAGATGAAGTTCAGGCTCTTCCCTCTCACCACCGAGACCAGTAATCATTTAATTAGAGGGAGAAAGGGTTCAGAACGAACAACCTGAACTGAATAGAATCGGTCAGACGTGAATCATTTTGCCTGCCCACGCCGATTCCTCTCTATGGAGCTGTACTTTTCCAATGGACAGTGCCTGCAGCCATTCTTCCAAGTGTGCAGAGAGGTGAAGAGAGGAGGGCGAAACAGGGAGGGGGCACCTGGCCTTGGTGGGGGCAGGAGCATGTTCACGCCCTCCCTAGACAAACAGTTGTCAAGAATTTGCCTCTCCCCAGTACCTGGCATAGAAGGGAATAAAGAAGTTCTTGTTTTTCTTCATGCTACAGTGCCTTCTTCCTGGAGCGGGGGGAGGGAGGGGGGACCAGCAATTTTGTTCACATTATAGTAAACCTAGCTCATCCTCATATTAGCCGAGCAAGTCTAGTGCAGCGTCTCGCGCAAAGTGCTCACAAGGGGGCTGCAAAGCGCAGCCCCAAAGACCCCGAAGGTGGGGGCCGGGGTAGAAGGTTCTACATCCTGTATTCCACAAACTCTATGGGAACTGTGTGCCCTGCACGGTGCTCAGTGCAAAGAGTGGCAAAAACGACACACGCTCCCTGCCCTCTCAGAGCTTAGTGGGAAGGAAGCAAAGGCCCCGGGGGTGAGCTAAGAGCCCGTGGACAGCACAGCCACGGCAGAGGCCTGCTGAGGCCCACAGCCCATGCACCACGTGCCTTGAAGGAATGATGGAGAGTTGTATGCTAACTAGGCACAGAGGCCTTCACCACACTTGGTGTCCCTGTTTCTCGGAAGCTCCCTGAGAAGGGCTGAGCTGGGCGAGGAGATCCCAGCACTAGGGGACCCCCCTGAGGACGAGCCCCTCCTCCCTCCCTTCTTAGCTGTGTGGCCAGGAACTCTGGGGCTCATAGCACCCCCACCACTTGTGACCTTGGCCCTCCTGACCACCCAATAAACTTTGTTTTAACGTCTCAGAGAAGCCAAATGCTTCCGTTCTGTCTCTTCATAAGCACTAAGGGAGAAACACAGAAAGCCTATGCCTTCGGTGGGGGGGATTTTCCTCTCCCCACCCACTCCCTCTCTTCATAAATTTAAAGATGAACAGCCCACAGATCCTCAGGGGAATCTGTTCCTTCTGCTCTACTCCCCCACACCCCACACCTTCCCCTGGGTCCACCTGCGAGCCAACCCCTGGCCCTCCACGACCTGTTCCCAGCCGTGGCCCCTGCCGTCTCCTTGAGTGGCTGCTGGCTTTTTCCATTGCTGAGCACGGCGGGCAGTCAAAACACTGGCCTTGTTTAGTCGCCTGCAGACTCATGCTTTGTCACCTCAGCTGGGCCCTCGCGGCTGCTCAGCAAACTGTTTAATCGATGTGTGTTCACCGCTCACATTCCTCACAGCTACTGTCCTCCCCGCTGAAGGCTTCGGTCCCAGTGCGTCCCCTCCCCTCAGCGGAAGGCCTTCCAGAGAATACCAGGGCCTGTCCGAGGGCAAAACGACGCTGCCTGATGGAGCCTGGACTCTGAGGCCCACCTCCGTCCCTCAGAATTTTCTCTTTCCTCCACCTTCCCTGGGGAAGAGTGCTCTCTCCTTCCCACGTCTCCCCCGCAGCTGTCCTCACCAGCCCCCTCGGGTTCACACCCTAACAGGTTCGCCCCTCTCAGCTGCATCCTCAGAATCTACAGGAGGAAGAGTGGTTCTTCACCCACCCACCCCCACGGGTTCTCAGCCTGGCTCCCCAAGGCAGCACTTCTCAGACTTCCAGGGGCTCGCAGGCCCGGGGAGATGCAGACTCGGACCCAGGAGGTGGTAGATGAGGGCCCGAGATGCTGCATCAAGGCTCCAGGGGAGGGTGACGCTGCTGGTCCATGGATCACACGTCTGACAGCAGCTTTGGGGACAGCGGTTCTGCAAGCGTGGACCCCGGACCTGCAGCCTCAGCGTCAGGCAGCACACAGAGTTTGAGAACCACCGTCTCGCCCATCTCTAGGCAGAAGCACAGCCCAGGCTTGTTACCGTACTTACAACAACAGCACACCCCCTGGCAAGGGGATCCAGAACCCTCAGTTCTCCCGCCAGCCCCATGATGCAGGTGGGGGTGGAGATAATCATCGTGAGACACGGAGAGGCCGAGTAATTGACTCACTCATGATCCCACATCTTATGGCTGAGCCAGAGCTGGACACCTGTCTCTTTAAAACCTACCCGGGGTACTCCTCACCCGACCAGTGGCTTCCCGACTCTCCGAGGCTGAGGCTGTGGAGCCTTTGCTGCCACGCCCTGGGCCCCACACCTGCTCTGGTATTACGAGGCGTCTGGAAGTGAAGCAGTGGGCGCACAGGGGCAAGCCCGCCACAGCCTACTTTCAGGGAACCCTTGCCCCTTGAGAATGCATGATTCCACCAGCCCAGGAGCATCACCCTGGACAGGGCCACCTCGGTGTCCCTACAGAGGGTGTCCCTACAGAGCGCCTGCTTCCTGCCCCAGGCCCAGGGACGGCTCAGGTGTGAAGAAACTAGCAAACCACCCGGCACAGCTCCTGCAGAGGTTCCTAGAGACCCTGGAGCCCGGGGAGGAGAGTCAGGAAGATGGAGCCCCTCCCAGCCACATGCCGAGGGCATGGCGAGCACCTCAGATATGGTGACTGTGGTGTCTGCCCCACCCAGTGCCCTTTTCTGGCTGGAACTGCCCAGCCCACGGCCTCTGCTCAGTGTGTTCTTTGCAGAAAAGCAGATCCTGACTGGACCAGGGTGGATATCTGACCGAAAGGAGGCCCGTCGATGGGCTTGCTGATGACCTCCGAGGTGACCTGGTGGAGAGGGACCAGGGGAGCTAGCTAAGCTGATCAAACCGGCTCCCTCCAGACGGTGCAGAGGGGACTGGCCAGTGGTAACGAGAGGAGCATGGGGCAGACAGATGGGCAGAGAGGCTGGATGCCTAAGGCAGGAGTGTGCTGGCCGGAGTGAGGCTCAGGGCGCTGTGTCCCAGCACAGCCGCCAGGCCACACCAGACCCCACCTTCCAGCCTCATAGCGCACCCCATTTTCTTAGAGAGCACCTCAGGATACCTCAAGAGTCACAGCCTGTGACTGTCCGCTGCTACCTAATGGCCCCCCTACCTACCACCTCACCCTTCCCCCACAGCTGGCAGGTAGACATTGCAAGTGAGGGGCTGGGAGATGACTTCTAAGACGGTGTGACCTGCTCCCTGTTGCCTCCAATGTTTGTGTCTTCTAGCCCCAACTAGCCCCTAAGGGGCAGATAATATACTTTGTATTTGACAGAGGTTTTTGTTTGTTTTTAAAACCTCTGCCCCCATCCAGTGCGGGGCATCAAGTAGTGTAAGGAGGGACGGGTGCCCATGGCTCAAGAGCAGGGCGTGTGTCCTGCCCTCTGAATGCTTCACAGACACT